AAACACCTTTCTCTAGTTTATCTCTTAAGGTTTCTTTTTAAGAATGAACTTATGAAACTAAAGTTTTAAAGAGAACCTTATGTACCTCTCCCCTATGATCAAATTGGACATCTACCTAAGAAAACTCCTGAATGCATAAAACTCACGAAAATTCCCAAATTCTTAGAGTTTCTCAACAATTAAATCCCAAAATCATCACAACAAACAATTCAACATAATGAATAATAATTAATAAAAATGTATAGTGTTAAAATTTTGAAATTGGACTTTTTATATGCAAATAGTGGGAGATTTATTATATACAATTAAAACATAACTTTTATATAATTTATAATGTTATTGTTAGGGACAAAATAGTAAAAAAAAATATGGAGACAAAGGATGAATGTTTTCGTTATAATTAAGCTATAGTCATAGTTTGCCTAAAATAAAGAATGGTTTAAACGGTAATTAATGATAAATTAATCAAATAAAAAGAGAAAAACAAAAGACAATATCCAATTTATTATACTTATAAGTTATAAATAATAGATATAGGTTACATTTATTATCTTTTAATCCGAACATTGATAAAGTAATTTTTAACATTTGTTTTTAAAATAATAATTATATTCTTTTTAAATAATAATTCTAAAATAGGTAAATTTATAGATTTTATTTTGGGAAGATGAGTTATATATATTTTAGAAGAAGTAAGCTTATTTCAATTCATTGATGCTAGTATTATAAATGCAAGTTGCAACACACTTGAATAAATGATTGTTAATTGGCATAAAAATTAGATGCCTTAACTAAAAAATGGGCGACTTAATTTACTTGCTCCTGACAAAAGTTACCATTAAGTTTGAATTAAAAATTTAAAAAAAATCTCTACATTTGCCAAAAAAAAATGCAATTTAGAATTGCCTTGTGTGTTGCGTGAAAAAGCATGCTTGGCCCATTTATATACTAATTGTCTAGATCAATTTTACATTGTAATATATTTTTCAAATAATTATGTATAATAATTTTTTTGACTTTTATAATTCATTATTAAGGGTGTATTAATTTTGTCAATAATTAATTTTTGTTATACAATGTAACTAATTATCTTTCATGAAATTTTTTCTCTCTACCACAACTGATATTTACTAAATATAAATATTTAACTAATGTATTGTAAGCCTGTTTAAAGTATTTTTAAAACCACAATATGAAAATAATGATAAGATATATTTTTTTAGATATGGAAAACATACTAGAAAAAATAACCTAGTAGTTGCTCAAGTTCATGGCATTCAAAAATATAACTTAAAACTTTATAATATCGTCATTCTCGTCTTATACCCATTGAATCCATATGTATGAGTTTTGAGATATCTCAAATTATCACTAAAAATCTTAGTTTTTGGCATTAAGTGAGCATTAAATGAGGGAATCATGAGCCAATTATATGTTTCTTCATATATATAGTCGAGGACCAACATATCTATGCTGGGTTTGAACCGATATATGTGATGGACAAGTATCATCACAATCAAATCTTGTTGAACATCAAGGTTTCTATGAGATGATTGTGTTGTTGGAATCTCATTTTAAAGTTTTGCATAAATAACATATTTGTCTATTAGTCTCAAGTGTGTGTAGCAGCACATGAAGAATGTATCAAAATCTTCTCTTAACATATTTCTAGGAGGTTACATTGACCAAAATAAATATTCATTTTTGATGATTGCTAATATGATATCACCTTAATTTTAGTTGGAGTACATTAACAATCTACATCATAACTTTTGAAACAAAAAACCAATTAACTTTTTTTTTAATAAACTTACTTGATGAATATTATAGTAATTTTTTATTTATTTATTTTTGAATAAAAAACTTATTTATCTCAACTGGTCTACTCATTCTCTCACTTACTCCGTTCATCTCTCTCTCTTCTCTCATTTTTCAAAAGTGACTAATCTTTTTCTATTGGACAATTAATCTACCATCATCTTCCACCTCCAACTTCCATGTAAATCTCAAATTTGTAAATTTTCTCGACTAGAACCACTTATTTGGCAATTATTGCACTCATGTCACAATTCCTTTCGTTAAACTAAATTTGATAAAAACAAAAAATTGTGGTAATACAAACTCTAAACAATAATCCAACAATAATTACAATGATTACCATTATAATCACTAAAAACAAGAAGAAAGGAGTATGAAAAAATGATTTAATGAATAAGAAAACTTAATTTTTTTTATTACTTGTTAATTACCAACACAAACTCATGTTGACTTGAATGGTGTATGCTATAGTTTCTTTCATTTTTTTCATATATTTTGTTTCTTTTGGATGGTGATATAGTATTTAGTCGCTCTTAAAATCACATATTAGAAACATGTCAAATGTTTTAAAAATAAGAAAAATGAATGTTTATTATCTAAGAAAATAAAATATAGAAATTTAGATGAAATGATCCAGATTGTGCATGACTCTAGGTGATGGAGAGGATAAAGAATAAGTTGATAGAAGAGAGAAATAAGTAGGTGACAGAGAAAAGAAAGAATGAGTGAACAAGAGAGATAAATGAATTTTATTTTAAAAAAATACTAAATTACTATAATATTTCTCAATAAAAGTTATTAAGATAAAATAATTAATCCAAATTTTTTGATGTAAATTATTAATACACTCTAACTAAAATTAAAGTGAAAGTATATTAATAATTTCCTTCGTATTTTTACCGCTTCGTGACGAAGTATCATGTACAAGAATTATTATCGCTAAAAAAAACTCTTACTATATTAATATATTACTAAATAACTCCTTCCACTATAATAAAACAATAATATTATTTTCTCTGAATTTAATTATTTTTGATGCTAAATAATTGGAATAAGTGAAAGCTTGGTTTCCAGTTATCCAACTCAATTGGAAGTTTGGAACAAATTACCTTATTGTTTACGGTGGAATCTGTTTACGGATTTTTTTTATCTGAACTAGCACGACAAACATTTCAATTTAGGTACATTTTGAAGTTTTAAGGAGCGAGAAAAAATGGAGCAGAGATTAATAGTTACTTGTTTTCAAATATTCATCAATAATTAACAAGAAATGATTTTCATGCATATAAATACGTAAATACACAGAGTGCACAATAGATATATTAACAATACAAATCATGGTTCACTTCGTATAATGATCAAATTACAATTAAAATGTTGAAGCATACTGATCAAAGTACAATCACACAACTATGCTACGTGATTAAAAGAAGAAAACTACACTAATCCTAATCCTAGAAGAAGAAAAGAAAATGTGGTTAAGAAATCAGTACCCAGCAATCGCGTGCACGGAAGTCATATGCGCAAGCAGAGAGTGCTTACAAAGTGCAAGTACGAAATTTCTGACCTTTATGAAGATACATAACTCTTGTATTTATAGAGTCAATCAAGAGCGGTTAGTTTCGTGCATGAAAGCCATTATAGGATACCCGCTATCCAAAGACTAAACTAATCCTAATCTAAAAAGAGAAGAAAAAGGTGGTCAAGAAGCAATCATACCCAAAAACGATTCCTTGCACGAAAGCCTTATGCGCAGGCGGAGAGTGCTTGAGATCTCAGTTCAAGTATGAGTTTTTCTGACCTCCGTAAAGATGCATGACTCTTGCATTTATAGAGCCAATTAAGGACGGTTAGTTTCGTGCATGTAAGCCATTATAGGATAACCGCTATCCACTATGCTTATTACGTGACTTTAAATCGTAACTTCTCATAACCATTCATCTCATGTTTCAACTTTCTCGATTCGACCCTTAATAATCACTTTAGTGCACTTTAACTGTCAGGAACCTCCATTAACTTCTTTTTCCATTTTTTTTTCGAGCTCTATTCGACTATATATATCCCAAGCACAAACAAATAAAATTCGTGATAAGTTCTCAATAGGTGTTGATTTTTATCTTTATTTCGAGCAGCTTCGTAATTGTGGCCTTCGACTCGAGTAGACCTAACACTTATGAATAGGATATTTGTAACCTTGTACACAAAATTAACTTGATTTTACAGTTAAGTTATCCAACACAATGGTACAAAATAAAATAAATCTCCCTTGCTCATGTTGCATCTAATAATTTCCTGAGATACTATTGCATAGATGTAAATTATATATTTTAATATAAAATTTTGTTTCATTATAGATAGACGACAAGATATATAAAAGATTAGTATGATCAAATTTCTATATTAAAACCCAAATTCGAAACATAGGAAGCAATTCAAAATTTTATGGGACTGTGACAGAAAGTGAGAGTGAGAGAAAGGAAGACTTTTCATTTTTTTTTTATATTTGGAAGTAATATGTTTTTTCCATTTCAGTGCATGTTTAGAGTTATACATTTGAAGCCATTAGATTTGCGTCAATTTTGGGTATCATTTTTCTTTATTTGCCCAATTTCATTAGAAAATGTAAATGTGACGCGAAACCAAACAACACGGTTAATAAGTAAGTGTTATTGATTACCATCCGTCCCATTTATATTCGTCAAGTATTATTTATTTTGTAACAAAAGAGAAGTCAAATAGGAGTATTCTTTATTTTAAACATTAACTTTGGTGATTTTAACTTCCGTGAGTTAGGATTTTTTTTTTGGAGTGAAGAATTTGTTGGTGAAATTATTGAAAAAAAATTAGTTAATCATTTTTTTTAGATCAATCACCTTTTTTCATCTACAAAGCTTAAACATAAAAACCTTTATTTTTTAAAAAATTTGCCGACGATAATTATAAGTCATGAGACTGAAATCTGAATACACAATTTTCATTACGATACGAAACATATACTATCACATAAAAGAAATAAAAAAAAACGAAAGTGGATGGTATTATTATCTTCCCCTTATCAAATCGGGTCCTTATTTCAAAAAGACAAGTGCAAGAACTTATTTGATTCTCGGTATTTGCACAAGAACCAACCAATCAAAGTACCCTTCAAACACAACACTTTTATATGAAAACGGTATTGCTTGTCTCATTATCCGCAAACCGTAATAATACCATTATTTAGTAGTAACATTTTATTTAGTTCCCACAAAACCAATGATTAAACAAACCATGAATCGCTTTCAATACGCCATGGCCGTAGCCTGGTGGATTAACAGGGTACAGTATCTCTTTCCTCTTCCATATTCATCCCCACATCATGATGATGATATTTTACATGAGAATTATGAAAACTTAGAATAAAGTGAACCAGAGTTCACAAATCCCAATTTCAATTACTACATGCTAACTAATTATTACGGCTGAGGCTCACTGGCCACTGAGTAGGACTCTCTTCACCCGAATCCACCCAGCCGAATCATCGCCCAGAAAAACCAAAACAATTGTTTTCATCTACCCATCACTTAAAGAACCTGATTAACAACAACAATGATAATAATAATAAAATTTGTCTCAAGTCTCAAACACACTTTCTATCGGTTTTTGAACACATTATTTATTATCAAATAAAATTTATTAAAAATTATAAAAATTGTTAACGATATTGGCTAACAATTATATAATTTTTAATAAAAATATAATTAATAATAAAGCATGTTAAAAAGTGTAATAAGAGGAAGAGAAGTTGACTTGTGATTAGCCATCGAAGCCAGTCTGGTTCCAGACGGCGTCACGAACCCGGCTCATGTCACGACCCTTCAAAGTGCGGCCCACACCTTCGAACACCGAGTTCGCAACCAACTTCTGGCTACGCGCCAAATACTCGTGCGGTGGCACCATCTCTGACTCCTCTTCCTCCTCGTCGTTCAGCGACTCAACTGAGTCCACTCGGAGTATCTTGCTCCAGTCCGGCACCTTCACCGGCGCCGAAGTCGCCACGTGCCGCCCGCGCGCCGTCGTCGCCGCCTCCTCACGCGCGCGGAACTGGTGCACGATCCTCCGCGACGCGCCGCTTCCCGCCTCTTCGAACGCCAGCGACAGCCCGCCCACGCGCCGGTGCTCCTCCGTGTCCGGCGGAATTCGCCGCCGGACGCTTCCGCCTGCGTGCGGCTCCCAGTCGCGGTCGCCGGTGTCGTCGCTTGTGGACCAGACGTCCTCCTCCCGGAGCTCCGACGGATCGGCGGCGGCGGAGGCTTGGGTGTGGGAGTAGGCGTAGGTTCCCAAGAAACGCTCGCTGCGGCTGGTCGTTAACTTTCGACCTTTGGCCATGTGCGGCGGCGGAATTGGGTTGCGCCGCCGCCGGAGAATGGATTGCGAAGTGGCAAAGGAAAAGAATTGGGAAGTAGTTGACAGTGTTATGAGTCCATTGGTGTATGGTTGAGGTGGGGGTCACATAGGTGCCACTTCCTCTGTATATATAACGTTTGTGATTTCATTTGAATTTGAGTTTGAGGTTCATTTTGTCCGAATTTACTCTGATGTTACGGTGAAGTGGAATTTAACGAATGACCAGTGACGACGACGACATGACACAGTTAATTCAATTGTAACATTGAAGAAAAATTAATAATAAGAAGAAAAAAAAGTTGTGCATGGCATGGCACGCGACTGTGGTAGAGCGTGGGGCAACTCGCGAAGCCAATTTTTGTTGGAGTGGGAAACTAGAGACTAGAAAGAATGCCCCAGCGTGCGCCAGAATTAAAGTTTCTATATTCGGAAGCTCGGCCATCTCTGGTTGGAACATATGAAAAAGGTTTTTGCCATTTTTTCATTGCGGTCAAAACACACACAAGAAAAATAAACATGCAGAATATTCATGGCTTTTTAGTGCTCATATTCAATTTATTATAATTTTTATATTATTAATCTATACTTTTATTTCTTCAATTTCACCAACTCAACTAAGATCATCTAATTGGAAGTTACTGATACTAATTCTGCAGTTGATGTCAGAACAATATTAAACTCTACATTTGTAATATCTCTCATTACTTTAATTTTATTTATCATTTTCTCTGTTTTCACACTCACAGCAACAAATAAAATGACACACTCAGCTCTTTCCCTCAATAACTCTTCAGTTTGGCTAATTGATGCTAACAATTCATCCTTTATATAGGGAAATACCAACTCCCTTTAAATATAATATATAAGAGTGTGATTGACAAATAGTTAAGTCATTCTTGTAATTATGTTGATCTCTATTATCGAAAACAAATCAAACTCACGCGATAGTTCTTACTGAATAACTTTATCATGCATCTCACACACATATCTAATGGCATAGACACTCTTCGCACCAGATAAAGCATAGTTGTAGGCTTAATTGACCTAGGTGCACTCTCAACATGAACAGGCCTCGCCTAACAATCTTTAGAAATGTGGCTCAACCTATCACACTTGTAGCAAACATTCTCAACCTATCCATCCTGAGTATTAACAATTTGAGGTATCCTAATGATAGTACACCCTATTGTTGCTAACATAGGACCTTTTTAATTGGCCTCCCTTTTTGGTCCCTCCTAAATCTTGGTAGCCTTACCACCACCACCACCCTCCAATCTCTCAATAATTTTTGTCTTCTAAGCCAAAGCAGGAAACTCTATGATCAACATAGGGATCACCACACACTTTAGCTCATGCCTTAAACTATTATCAAACCTTTTACACCTCCAAGCCTCAAATATGGTCTAAAAGTAGAAATAATTTAGATGAAAACTTTTTCCTTCAATATTCAATCTAATTTCAATCACATATATGCTCACATTTGGTGAAAATGACAACAAATAGTTCATCAAATCAATAATTCAATTCATCATAACTTTCTATACCTCAATTATAAGTAACAAAAAATGAAAGAGAGGTATAGACAAAGAGGATGAATTGACTTATTGATTCAATTCTATCTCGTTTATAATAACAGAACAGAAGCAACGGAAAAAAAATGTTTTATTTACTCTTTTCCCCATAATCAAAGAAATAATGAAAGAAATGAAAAGTTCTAATACAATGAACAAAAGATTCAAATTTTAGTTTTATATTTATAATACGAAAAAATAGGTTATACAACATTTCATAATATAAATCAATACTACTATTTAATCTCATATAAGTGTATGTTAATCTCATATAATATATATATATATATATATATATATATATGATAAGTTTTAAAATTTTATAAACTACCTTAACTTTGTATTTGGACGATAAATTTTAAGATATTAATTTATTATTTTGGTAAATTTAAAATTTATTGTGCTGAGTTTTTTTTATAAGAAATTAAAGAAAAACTAAAATTATAGTAATTTGTAAAGATATTTTGATTACTTAACATTATAAATTTTAATTTTTTTAAAATAATTAAAATTTAAAATTCTTCATATTTATATTGTTTCTTTTATCTCATTTATATATCCCGTTCTTTCTCTCATCTTTGTCTATCCTTATTTTCTTTTTCCTTCTTGTCTTTCTCTCATTCTTATCAATTTTTTCTCTCTCTATTAATATATTAATAGTTAAAGTTGACAAATAAGTTTGACTTGTCGAATTAACCAAAACCTGTTCGATAAATTATAAATTATAAGAATTGAATTATAAATTTTAAGATCAAAATAATTTTGAACTCTTTTAGTCATGTTGAACAAAATCTATGTCTTAAATGGATTTGGGTTGAACTAACCCCTAAATTCATGGATTGTCTGCTTAATATTTAAGAGACAAAAAAAAAACTCGCAAAAATAATAAAAAAATGTCAAACTAATTTGTTTAACATTTTTCTTCATGCAAGTGGTTTAGTTAATCTTTGAAAATGTTGAAAAATTAATTAATAGACTTAAGCTTTCACACTTAAAAATCAAGGTTTAAATAGACAAAAAAAAAAACTAACAAAAATAATAAAAAATGTCAAACTAATTTGTTAACATTTTTCTTCATGCAAGTGGTTTAGTTAATCTTTGAAAATGTTAAAAAATTAATTAATAGACTTAAGCTTTCACACTTAAAAATCAAGGTTTAAATAAATTTATTTATTATTTAAACAACTTAAATTAAGGATTATCTAGTGTACTGAAGAATAGTCTAGTGAAATCAATAATTACAGTACTTTTATTCTTATTAGTTTACAAAGAAATTATGCAGTTTCTTTAAATTGAAAAACAAAAATCTTTAGAACTCTTCTATTTTTATTTTAAGTTTTGCCCAAAAAATCTAAACAATTTGAAAAACCATTTTAATTTAAATAAAGATAATATTAAATTGGGATTAATTTTCAGTACATGAAATCTCTTAAGAAAATCAATATTTAATCTCACAAACTTTACTATTTGTGTAATTTGATATGCTTGCCAAAATCTTAATAAAAAATAATGTTATTGTTTGTAACAAACTTGAAAATTACATGGACAAATGAATGGAGTTATACGCTACAAATACAAAGAAGAATAAAAGAAAGTAGTGCATTTGAGATAAGATTATTGACTTTGATTGAAGTATGGAGAAACAATGACTAAAATGCACTCCACGTGGATTGAGACTCAAAATTATTTGAAGGTGATGTAGTTGTTTAGCATAATTGATGAACCATAAAGAAGTTCAATAGTAATGATATGTAATAAATATTTAATTATTGGTTGTATTTATATATAGAGAATAATTTAAATTAGGTTGAATTCCCTGGCAATGGAGTTAATGTATTTCAAAGGCAATATTATCTTATTTTAGTTTAACAAAGTGATAACTTACTAGGGACTTTGTCATAATTCTACATTTAAATGTGTATTCTTAGGATTTTACATCCAAATCTAACTTCAGATAACTTATGAGTGAACTTATGTAACATTTTGAATGGAGGTATCCCACTATATGTCACTTATATAATATAGGATACATGTGGAGCGAGAAATCTCACAAAACACACTAATTTATATATAAAAAGTGTATATGAGAATATTATTTTTAATGTGAGAATAAAAATAATAGATATTAACTGTTAAATCTTATCATAAATTTGAAAATATTAGCTTTAAAATACATTAACATGAACTTATATAAGCGCATCTCCAATTGAAGCAACTCATTTGAGTTGCTTCATACATTGAAAAATGAAATAAGTAGTCTCCAGTGTGTTATGTTAACATTAAGCAACTCAAACACAAATTTACTCCAATGGTAAGAAATTTTAAGAAATTCAACTTTTAGCATTTTTTTTATAATCATTTATGAACCAAATTTAAATTTTTATTAAAAAGAATAATTGCACTACAATGAAAAAAATTAATTACCAGAAAAAATACACAATAAGTAGATATTAAAAATAAAATAAAGCAATAGTAAATACATAAACATTATATGAAATTAATTTTCATTATTATTATTTCTGAAACGTTCTCAAATATGTTCAATAAAATCTGCTTGAAATCAGGTAAGGAACGGTTGTTTGAGGAAGCAACTTTCTCTCTTCTTCAAGCAACTCATGTTAGAGTCTTCCAATGGCAAAAAATTGAGACTTGAGTTACTTCATGGGACAAGCAACTCTCATTAGAGTTACTCTAAATAGAATTTCAACGTTGAGATATTACATTGATATTAATATTATTGAAACTAGATGGATTTGTAAGGTAACATGAAAGTAATGAAACCAAGTAATACTGTTTTTTTTTTATATATAAATAATTTATACATCGAAAGTGTACTTTTTATTTACACGGCAAACAACAATTGTCACATATGATATAATAAACTTTTAAAACTTATTAAAAAAAATCAAAAGACATATATTATGATTTATAATTAGTTAATAATGTAAAAATATTTTATATAATCAATATCTATTATGTTGTATATAATGTTTGGTAAGATACTTGATCAACTTATAAGTTTTTTATTAGTTTATAAGTTAGTTTTGATTAAAATAAGTTTTTTTTTGTATGAAAGGTTATTTTAGGAGTCTATAATTTTTTTTATAAATTAATTGAATTCATTTATAACTTATAAAATTTATAAAATTTCTTTTTATTTTATATTTATTAATTTACTTGAATTTATTATTATTATTATTATCTTATCTTTTTTAATTTAAAAATCATTTTTCTGCATGTCATTCTCTTACCCTCTTTATTAAATAAATAATTATATTATTTTTTATTAATCAATTATTTTATTAACTAATTTTATCAAATACTTTTAATTTAATCAATTAATTTATAAATTTTTAGATTTTCAATTTTTAGCTTGTAGCTCTCAACCAGAAAAAAGTTTGTAAACTAGTTTTATGAATACATTAAATTAAATATAAAGCAAAACCAAAGACAATAAATTGTCTTTTCTCTCTCCTATTTTTTTAATTTTAAGTTTTAAGCACACTCAAATATTACATTCAATATTTTTATTTGACATATTTTGAATGAGATTTAACAACATATTTTGTGTGTTACTATATTCTACACTCACACTTTTTAAT